GTAATCGGGTTATGCGGATATCCTGAACCGGTGAGGCCTACCGGCTATCCCGAGCGGAGACCCGTCATCCACGTAGGCTGCCTGATTGCATACCAGTGGTTCGTGTCACGTGCGAAACCGTCACCGCTGTTCTTGGGTATCAACATACTCAGATCGTCACCACGGAGTGCCGGCCACCAAAGCAGCTCAACCCTGGTCTGGCTCTGCGTATTATCGCAGCATGAATCGTTCCGCTCACGGCAACGCCACTGCGCAGCCTTATGAAGGTCCGAGTCACGGCGCTGCAGGACTGCTCTTAGCATGATAGCCTATCATCCAATCTCAGTGAGTTATTCCTCAGGATCCTGGCCGCTCAACTACCAACAGCGAGCTACTGGCGCACTCGGAACACGTTCACAACTAGACTGGCACAGTGAGTTGAGTAGCAACGGCTCCAAGTCACGTGGCCACAGCCGCTCACAATCTAGGCGGCTCCTTTTCCTTTCCCGCAGACAGTCATGTCTTATCCTGGTCGTGATGTGCAGTAACTGGCTCTGATAACTTGTCCACATTGGTTTCATGACCGGGCTATGCAGTAGCAGATGACAGTCAGGGAGCTGCAACGATCAGGGGCCTTTTTCTCGACCAAATGTTTCTGCCCAAGTGTGTTTGATTGGTGCTGACTGTGTCTCGTATGCCGGCAGAACGCAGATCTACCTCATTCCCTTCCCCTATGGCGACAATCATTTGTTCTTCATATTGGTGGAAGGGATGTGGAAAACTGGAGATACCGGCCAGCCCTCACATCGCCACTCCGAGCCGCGGGGCCGCCAGCACCCGGAACGAGCGGCCAAGGCTGGGTCGGCCTGACGGCGACGCCGGAGGCAAAGCCGCAGCTCGCCGGAGCCGGCTCAGGACCAGCCGACCCTGGCAAAGTGGACCAAGGGCACGGCAGCCCGGCGACGGCGCCCGGGGCAGCGGTGCAGCCAGCCCGCGCGGTGGGGCGAGTCACGGCCGACGAGGAGCGCCCGGGGTGGGGACGTACGGGGCGGGGGTGCCGAGGGCCTGAGGCGACCCCGCCCTGGACCAGCTCAGCTCGACGGTGGTGTCACGTGGGCCTCCTCCCGACGGCGAACTGGGGAGGGGGCGAGGCTGGCCGTGGCACCGCCATATAAAAAGCGTGCGCTCGGTGCTACGTCAGTTCAGTCGTCTCCAGTCACCACTACCAGAGAGGGAGTCGTCTCCAGTGGGGAGGCTCCAGTCGGAGACTCCAGCAGGGAGTCTACAGTTCCAGTTCCAGTCTCCGGTCACCAGACTCCAGGCGCAGTCTCCGGTCATCTCGACCGGTCGGCCGAGACCCCGACGGCCGCTGGGCGCTCGCAGTGATTGTGTCTGGCGTGCACAGTGTCAGGGACAGTGCTTGAGATGTAAGTACACGGGTTCAACCAGCCGCGCTGGCTATGGCGCGCTGGTTGGGATTAGAGGAGAGTAGTTGAGAGGAGAGTATGAGATCAGTAGTGAGTGTGGATCTGTGTTTTCCCTATCCTCAATAATAACACCTCTATGTGTAAACGCTGTCTGTGGGGCGGTGCTGAGCGGGGGCTGAGGCGATGGAGAGTCGGACTAGCGCTGGAAAGTAGACTAATTGCAGAGCCACACATCCAAACAAGTAGGTAGGATGAAACATATTTTCACAGGGTGATTTGGCTCCCACTGATGCAGTGAGCTACTTTGATGACATTTTGGTTTTCTCTGGCGATTTTGACACGCATCTTTCACGTCTTGAGAAGGTGTTCCGTCGTCTGTCGGCTGCGAATTTGACTCTCAACCTCTCAAAGTGCAAATTCTTTCAATCAGAGATCACTTACCTGGGTCACGTGGTGTCGTCTGATGGGGTCAGTCCCGATCCAGAAAAGGTAGACAAAGTAAAGGATTGGCCGGTGCCTATGAATGAGAAGGCATTGTCACAGTTCTTGGGATTGGCAACGTACTTTAAACGGTACATCAAAGATTTTGCTGCTATCGCGGCTCCGCTGCATCACCTCACCAGGAAAGACGTAGACTTCCATTGGGATGCGGAGGCTCAGATGGCTTTTGACTCGCTAAAGGCGGCGCTGTGCACGGCTCCGGTTCTGAAATACCCTGACTTTTCCCCGGGAGCGAGCGAATTCGTACTAGACGTGGATTGTTCAGGGTCAAAGATGGGCGCGGTTCTGCTGCAGAGGGATGGACAGGGTGAGCGGGCAGTGGCATTTGACAGTAAAAGCCTGTCTAAATCCCAGCGGCAATATTCAGTCACTAAAAAGGAGCTACTCGCAGCTGTGACGTTTGTGCAGCAGTTCCGACATTACCTTTTGGGTCGTAAATTCACGCTCCGCACAGACCATGCCGCTCTGCAGTGGCTTGTGAATTTCAGAAACCCTGACGGGCTTCTGGCGCGGTGGCTGGAGATTTTGGGCGAGTTTCAGTTTGAGATTGTTCATCGGCCAGGTAGGCTACATGAGGCTCCGGATGCGCTCAGTCGGAGGCCGGACCCCACGCAGGAGGTGTCTACACAGACAGACACAATGGATTTTCAGTCGCCTCCCGTCGCAGCTCGCCACGTTCAGTCCATGTGGCCTTCTGATTTCATGTGTTCGGCGCAGAACTCAGACCCCGCCATGGCGGAGGTGAAGAGGCAGCTTGCTGGGAGCACACAGCGGCCCTCCCAGTCCTCCGTGTCAAAGGGCGCTCTGCCGTACTGGAGGCAGTGGTCACGTCTGCGTTTGATTGATAATGTTCTGTACAGAGTGTTCCGGGCTGGGCCGAGGGGGCACGACCAGCTGCAGCTGGTAGTCCCACCCCAGCTCGTGCCTGTGGTGCTGGGGTCGCTTCATGATGGTCCGTCGGGTGGGCACTTCAACGCTTCAAAGCTGGCGAAAGTCGCGCGACTCAGGTTTTGGTGGCCGCTCCTGGAGCGTACGGTGACTGAGTTTTGCGAACAGTGCCGCCGCTGTGCCTCGCGAAACTCTCCGACTCCCCGCCCATGTGCGAGTATGGGGCAGTTGTCTGCGTCCGAGCCGATGGAGCTGGTGTCCATGGACCTTGTGACCAACCTGCCGGAAACCGCTCGAGGCTACAAACACCTGCTAGTGATCACTGATCACTTCACACGCTGGGTTGAAGCGTATCCCCTCGCGGATGAAAAGGCTACTACGATTGCGAATGTTCTAGTAAATGAGTTTATTTCTCGTTTTGGCGTCATGAAACGTGTGCACTCGGACCAAGGTCGGAACTTTGTCGGTGCGGTGATGAAAGCTGTGAGCGAACTGCTCGGCATTCAGCAGTCTCAGACATCCAGTTATCACCCTATGGGCAACGGGATGACTGAGCGAGCCAATCGCACCATTTTGAACATGCTGGCTAAGTTTGTTGAGCAGCACACGGAGTGGGATAAGCATCTTCCGATGCTCATGCTCGCCTACCGGAGTCAGGTGCACGACAGCACGGGATACTCTCCGTTCGCCTTGATGTTTGGGCGAGAGCCCCGCCTGCCGGCGGAAGCCTCGCTGGGTGATCGGCCGGTTGTGGATCGGGCCCCAACCTTCCCCCAGTACATAGACGATTTGAGAGAGACACTTCGACTTACTTTTAAGGATGTGGTTAAGCGCGATCAGCTGTCCCATGACCGCAACAAAGCTTTGTATGAGCGCAGAATGAACGAGTGGTCGTATCGCCCGGGTGACAAAGTGTTCTTGTTTCGCAATGTACCGAAGCGCGGTGAATATCATAAGTTTGTGAGGCCTTGGCGTGCGGCTGAGATCATAGAACAATGTGGACCAGTGAACTATCGAGTGCGCGAGGAGGGAAAGCGGCGCAGTCTGGTGGTGCACCACAACCGCTTGAAGCCGGACAACACAGTGGAGCGCCCGCCGGCTGTGAGTGAGGGGCACAGGACCGCGACAAGAGCGCATGGGTTGTCTCTCTGGCGAGATGTGCCGGGAACGCCCATTGCCCGGCCCCATAGTGTGCCTGGTATGGGTGGGGCGCCAATTGTATTTCCGCCCCAAGGTGTCACAGCTGGCCGCTATGTACCGCAACCTGTTGTCTTGCCGCACGTGCCGATGCCGCGTCTGCCCGAGATGCGACCTGACTGTGTGCCGCCACCTGACCCTGTACCGCTCCATGACGCTGTGCCGCACCGGCCGGAGGTACCACATGTTCCGCCGCCGTCCCCGCCGCCGCCGTTCGATGCCGAGCCGCCGCGGGATGTGGATCAGCGGCCGCGAACTGTCACCCGTTTCGGGCGTGAGGTACGCCCCCCGAAACGGTTCGACCCTGCTCACTGGTCTTTTGATTAAGCGTTTGTTGTGACTGTCGTTGGCATATTGTTCAATAGGAGGGGAGGAGTGTAAGTAGGTATAATATTATTTAGTGGCCGAGAGCCGTGAAGGATGCACGGCTAAATCGTGTTCCCGGCTGTGGCGGGAAGCGGTCGCGCGTCGGCGCGCGAGCAGAGCAGAGCAGAGCGCTGGGCAAAGGGTGTGTGTGTGGAGCGCGGCCGGAGGCGCGGCTGGTTGTGTGTTGTGTGTTCGGTCAAGCTGAGAACACAGGAATACAGAGACATGCAGTAAGACCGGAGGCTGTATCTGAAGACTGAGGTGTCTTACACATTTTTGACCGTAGTGGGCCAGAACTTATAAAAAATGTATCAAATCAATATTATACATTTGCCAATGGGCATGTGATTACGGCTAGTCTTCAGCGTCCCATGGGCTGAACGGCGAAATCACACGAGACATCGACGGTTATACGTCGGTACGTCGATCTCCCTATCCACCTCCTCGTCTAAGGAAGTACCCCATGGGTGGCTCCGTAAACTTCCCGAGGCTGTGATCGACTGATCGTGAACTGGGTTTTTGAAGCCATGAATGTCATTACCGTGGTGGCATCTGGTCAATAGGTTGGTTGGTGATGGGATTTGTGTCGTGACCATCCAAACATTGATGGATCACCGAATTCAAACCAGATCGAAACGATCGTTCAGCATGCAGTATGCACACATTATATTTCTACCAGAATTCCTTAAAAACTTCATCACAGGCCGAATAACCCTGCCAGAGTTACTGATGGCACATATTTCGCACAAAAACCACGCAGACCGGCAGAAGTCGGTTTAGCTGATCACACTTCCCACAAAATGTGTAGACATTGCTCATTAAGTGTTTACGCACAGGCGACATTTCGCAAAATTCACAACTCAGACGTACAACATGTAATCCCATGGATTTCGACCTTAAAAAACAATGCGCCACGAGTCTCCGGTAGCTACCACAAAGCATGACATAAAACGACATCGCAACATGGGTATTGGCTATCAAACGGTTCACAGAGCAATCACACATCGATGATGCGAATAGTACAATCGTCGTTCCAAAAAGACAGCATCTCAAATGGACCATGCAATCGTGATTTCGGTCCGCTCTTGACACAAATTACAACACTACGAGGTAGGTACATAGATTGTAATTGTAATTGTAGATTGTAACCAACAGCTAAATCAAAACTGGCCGGGCTGAAAATAGTGCGAGACATTGGGATTCGCAGCAAAAATACACCTCAGTATTCATTCAATGCCTCGTGCGGCCCAAATCTCGTTCCAATGAATAATAAGAACTGGCATTTTACATTTGACAACTTGTTTTAAATATGGCAAGCTTTGAAAGACATTACCGAAGCTTCAGGACTTGCATTCAACGTTGACATTAACTGCATACACTTTCCAATGTGGTCCGAGCTCATTATCCAATACACATCCATCAAAGCACACTAATTTCAAACTCGATTGCACCAGCTTCTGAAATACAAACATTGCACAACCACACCACACAACGAGTAAATGACGTTGAGCCACACACACGCCTTTCGAAACTTATCCTAACAATTGCATTGTTGAAGTAGCACAGTCTGGTTTTCACACAAGCTCGATACATATTACATAAATAGTTATTAGGTCCGGTATAAAACGTTCCCCCTAACATTTTATAGTCACTGGCTGGTCAGAAATCTCGGCCAATTGAATATCCACTAACGGTGGGTCCCTGTAATGCTGCAAATCGGCTGAGAGGTCTGTGACGTATGATGGCTGAAGCCATGAGATACTTCTCCGAGTCGGCATTGTTTTAACAGACCTGAAAACAGTGGGAAAGGTCACACAGCGAAAAGCACAAATGGCCGCAAAAGTGAAAAATACTTGCGATGCATCAAAAACGATAAAGCATGCGAATGCGACTCATTACAGGCCGGACAAAACGGCCCAACGCTCCTCCGCTTCTGGTTAAAAGCAGCTTCAACGAAAAACGCTGCAAGTGCGCATCACATAGTATTAGTTCTGATATTCGCCGGTAGAGGGACAGACATGGCCATCGTAAACACCACTGACACCGAGCATTTCGGTAACTGCGACAAAATTTGGCGAGCTCCACCCGATTCCACCACCATCTTACGACTCAAACTCACCATTCTTTCTGCTCCCTCCTCTCTCCCCACCGTCGCTAGAAGCTTTCCGTGCCGGCCAGTTTCCGTAGATTCTCATAGGTAAACCAGAAGGTGAGACTCCAGGGCGCCATGCGTATCCAGCAGGGCAGGAAGCCTTTGTACATGGCCAATAGACCCTCCTCTCGGACCAGACGCACAAAACAATCGATTGAGCTGCGGTATAGCGTTCCCCTGGGGATAGAAGCACATGTGAGACTCCCAGAACCATCTTTATCAATAAAAATCGGCCCAGTGTGCTGGTGGAAGGGACGCAAATGGCAGAGTGCAGAACCATTGAAGGTATGTTCTGGGGGTGACCTTGTATTGGCGGGTGAGATATTAAATCGTTCAAGAAGAAAGCTAAAACACCGATCGATACCATGTCGACTGCCCCCCCCCCCCCCATCCCAAATTCGCACCTTATTCTATTAGAGCGAATCAATCAACTGAAGTAAAAACAGATCAACTCATGCTCTCTATCCGGTAAGTTCCTATCATTTTCTAGACCCGCTACCGTCACCAAAAACACAAACAGAGTGCCTTGAGCCTTCCGCCCCTCCCTTCCCTCCCCTAGTGACCCCTCTCGGAGCGTATACCTGCCACTGGCGTCGGTGGGCTGATTCATAACGCGAGTCTTCACAACGTCGGCAGGAGTGCCCAGAGTGGCCGACACGAGGCCGGAGGCCACACTGTGAGGGACACGCCGGGTCGGGGGTCAGTCACGCTGTATGGAATCGGGCAGAGGCTGTGAGGGGTAGGGGTACGGTCAATCATACTTGACCAACAGTCAACAGCCAAGGGGGAGCTGTAAGGTGTAGAGGACAGGCCGGCCAGTCGTGTCACATAACAGTCAGCACGGTCACGAAGGCTATCCTATGTGACAGAAATGGTGTGCAGAAGTCAGTTTGTGCACTGCACAACACCCTGATGAGAGGGCAGACTAGTCAGGGACTCAGGGAGCATGAGCATAAGCAAGCTTCAGTCACATTATTGTTTGTTTATTGGGGCTTTAGGGCGCGCCGACTACTAAGGCCATTTTGCACCACATTACGCTTAGACGCTACATCCCACAATAATTAAGTGAGATATCATTTCCATTAACATAGATAACATGAATGATTCATGTTATCTATGCCATTAATTATGACCATTCTAATAGCTCCAGACTATTCTAAATAACCTTGTGGTCTCACCTGGACAAAACGCGTGCGACGGGACTATCTCCGGCACCCACCTGGCCAGGAAGTGTGTGACGGGCGTGTCGCCGAGGTTGGTGCCCCGCACCAGGCGCGCCTTCACCGAGTCGTAGGTGGTGAGGTCGCCCAGGTTCACCAGCGCCGAGCGCTGCACGTTCGGCACGCAGCCCTTCCACAGGCCGCGCGCGCCGCCCTCGCGGAGAATCTTACGGAACGCGTGCGCGGCGTTTTTCACTCTGGAATGGGTCGAGAAGTTAGCAATAGAATAGTAAGATGATTGAAGGAATATGAATAAAGCATTGGTCTCAGGTAATTGTCGTCAGCAGGTAATTAATTATTTAGGTGCTTGTAAACACTCAACACCGCAGTTTGACAACGATGTGTTGCCTTGCAAAGTCCTTTTATTGTGTGTATGCGACATTCTTGTCGTGACATTGACGAGCCTAAAATAGATCCGGGAAAGGGTGAATCACGTACAAACGGACATGTGTCTAGGTTGAAAATTCATCGGTCAGTCACCAAGTAACACTCATATTGCCTATACCGTAAACATAGCCATTTTCGACGAGCACTTCCAGAACTAACCCAGTCATGAGCCCGGCACAATGAGTCATAGATACGTCCCAATACCGCGGCGCCGGTCGTCCATAGCCCGCCCAATGTTGACCCGTCTCCAAGCGCACCGACGGCGCTGAGGTCACCCCATCGTCGTCTGCACTCGCACTCATACGTTCACATGAGTCACTGTCGCGTCGAAATTGTCGGAGCCGATACCCCTCGCGTCCCCTCGTCCAGTCACGTCCCCTCGTCTGCGTTCGTCGATAGCTGAGTAACTCCGATGTTCCCCAACCCAAAAAGGACAGGCGGATGAGTCATGGCATTGATTGACAAGAGAGACACCCAACCGCTGGAATGTTGGAGTGAAATGTCCACATGACGGCAAAAAGAGTTGGGATAGAAATAAAACAATTCTACGTAGCTCTTGCAGGTTGGCGGGAAACTTGCAGCGGGTAAAATTTATGTTAGAATTTTGTATTGTTAAATATTTTTATGCGAACTATGAGACTGTGGCTTCTTTATCAAAATGATTTGACAGAATGATGGATATGCCAAATCATCAGCCTAGACATACGCCTACATTTAAAAAGCAGTTACCGCACCTTCAATTTAATACCGCGCTTTCTTTTTACCACAGTCACCCGGTAACGCGCTCGTTTGTTCTATGGGCACCTCCGTTTGTCCTGGATACCGGTGCAGGCAGCCCAGTGGCCCGAATGGCGTGTGATCGGGCTGCCCCAGGTCAGAGGTCAGCGGCGCGATCAACCGCAGCGGGTCAGCCCGGTGACGTTTTGGCACCTGCACGTCCGGTAGGCGGTACTGGAGCCAGTGGCGCCTCACAAGTTGTCGAATTTGTCGGCAGCAAATGGGGCACGCCTTAAATGAGATTAAAGCGGCATTGAATGAAGACTATTATTTATTAATTTTCCCAGTGGAAAGAATGGAACCCTAGAATAGATGAAAAGGTTCTAAACCACTGCTGCTATTCACGAAGACGAATCCAGGATAAGAATAGCCAGGTAGGACTTTCCATCGGCCACAAATGTTGCAGCTGATGTAGCCAGGTCAGCCAGCAGCAAAGAACCGATAAACATGTCGATACCACTCAGCGGAATGTACCATGTAGGCATCATACATGTAATGCAGGGTAATCAGCCATGTATCATTGGCCAAAACATGCGCGACGCGCGTTAGACCAAAAAATACCCACACACGACGCTACCATTGGCACAAACTTTGCCAAATAAAATCCCTTGATGACCAATGCCTCCTAAAATCCCAGTGAATCTCAAATTTCCCTCTATCCGCCGCCGTCGCCGCCACTTCCCTTCCACCACCGTCGCTACAATCGGGGACCGGAAAACCCCGGTGGCAGCAGCTCAGCGTCGGCGGAGCGCCGGATGTCCGGTCCGGGGCCCTCCGTCCGTCGAGGGGCCGGTCGGCTACCTCAGAGACGGTGGTTTGGGCGATATGTGGCGTGGCTAAGACGGGCAGGGATGACCCGCAGTTCCCCCGGTTTAGATAGGGTAGAGGACCACCACAAAAACAAGGCTAAATAACGAGAAAAGAAACCCAGGGACTCGGGACCGTAATGCTAGCATGTCTGATGTCATATTTATTCTGGAACTAAACCAAATAATGTAAAATAATGTATACTTGCAGGCGGTGTGTGCTGTGGGTAGGACTGGCAGGGATGGCCCTGTGGTTTCCAGAGGGTTTAGATAGAGCAGAGAGCGGCCACAAAAATAAGACAAAATAAGTGGAGGCAAAAATCCAGGGACTCGGGAACCAAGATGCTTGAATTTCAGATGTCAGGTTTATTTATACTCGTAGTACGGACACTCAGGACAGACATGAGATGAGCACGACGGTAAGGTGATTTATCACCACGTCGCTCTCTCAAAGGAGTGAATATTACTATTCCTGCATTTCAAGCGATACTATGACGACGGAGTAAGCTATTGTGCCCGAAATGCTAGTCATCCTCAACGCCCACGATTTTCTTCGTTTCGATAAATTTTGTTTAAAATTCATCATATCTTCTGTTGTAGGGCCCGGCCCATCACATTTCCTGTCTCTCCCCTGACCCCCCCCCCACGCTCACGTCCCCTCTGGACCCAAGGGGTGACTCAGGGCGCCCCATAAGACAGAACTATTGATCAGCGATTGGCGCCAGTGACGCTGTTACTGGCTCACATGCAGCCCGGTTTAGTACCGGACTCTGGGGCCTGGGAGCGTGTGGTTCAATAAAACTCAGGGTGGCTCCATTTTATATTGCAGTGAGATATCTATTGGTATTATCATGGAAGTGGCGTCAATGTGATCCATTCGTGGCAAAAACAAAATGTTAAGAATGAATTTACCTACAAAACGGCATAGAGATTTGTTTTCGCTTCAAGCCATTTTCCCGTCAATTGTGGATGTAAAATGAATGATACCTTCTGTCCAGAACCAAATCGCGTTAGATCAACGCAAGTTTGTTGCATCCACCATAAGACCCGCAACTGGGCATCATGAATGATACACATCGTTTCCTCTCTGAACTCACCTGGGTTTGTGACCCTGCAGCCGCCGCCGGCCTTCCATCTGCATCTGAACCTTGACGAGGTCAGCCGGGGAGGCCAGCAGCTGCCCGAGCCCACCGGCCAGCAGACCCGCGCCGGCCGCCTGCCTGCACAGGCCCAGGGTGGGGGGGGGGGGGGGGGAGATTGTTTGATGCGACAGACAAAAACAATAGATCGACAGTAATCAATATCCGTCATTAGTCAACATTAATTCGAGCATAAGCTAAACATTTAAACAATGTTTATGAGTACATATATAGTTAATGCTTACGAACAAACAGACAAATACGAGGAAACCAACAACACAGCGGCAAAGACCATCACCATCGCACAAGCAGGACAGTTAGCACCGATTACATCCTTTCGAGACTCGCCAAAACATAACGTACAAATTAAACAAATCTAGCACTGTGATAAAAGGCTCTCCAGCGCTGACCGTTCCACACTCACCAGACGGGCAGGGGTCGGCCGGGGGGCGCGATCCGATCCCGCAGCCACTCATAGCCATTCATTCGGACCCCCGTGTAGATGAGGTGGCGGTAGATGGCCGGTGTGACGCCCTGCCACAGACGGCGAGCGCCCTCCTCGCGCACTATGCCCGCCGCCGTGCGCAGGAACCCGCGGTATGGCGCCGCCTGGGGATGGAATGGGGGTGAAGGGGTTAGGTTTGGGACAGGGGGGGGGGGGGGCGAAACAGGTCACAAGTGGTAGAGGGAAGTGTCACAGGTTTGAGGGCAAAGGTGATGAGCTAAGTGTTAGATGCCAAGAGTTGACAGATGCTGTAACATATGGAAAAGTAGATGCTAAAAAAACATCCATCAATATGGAAGCAATGGCTTAGGCCTGAAAGTGTTTCCTGTTTGCTTCCAATCATGAATCGCACAGTACACAATAGGCAAATTATGTGTAAAGGGAAAGGACAATTATGTTACTTCAAACATTCTTTGTGTTGTTTCCCTTTGATATCCAGAAATTAGCACAGAGGTTCCAAATAATAACACTCTGTAGTCACAACACTTCTGTACAGTGTACAGTGTATTGCATGCAGTAGAATTTTACAACAGTTTTATGGGAATTGTTGCCGACAAACTGCACTAGGTAGTTGGTGTTGCGGCTCATTTCGGCTCTGATCGTAGCTGCCGGGCCGGGCCGACTCGTGATCCCGGCCGGCGCCGCTCCACGCCGCCGCCGCCCCCATCCCCCTGCCACGCCGCCGGCAGATGGGCCGTCCTCGAGAGAGTTTATGGCAGTGATCGGGTGACGGGACGCTCCTCTCTCCCTGCGACCGTGTTCTACAGCTGCAGTTGTATGAAAGGATGCGCTGTTACCAGAGGGACTGACCCGGGGGATGGGGTGGGCTGGCGTGGCGTCGCACGTGGAACTGTGTCCCCGGCGGGTCGGAGCCGTTAGGCCGACATGTGCCGACCGCGTGGTAGGGTTACCAGGACGCTGTGTAGTCTGTAGCTTCTTTGTTATTTTATCACTTCCGTCGCCATCTGTGTCCTCCCGACCCAGTACATAAACGGGGCGGGAGCAACCCTCGCTCTCACTTCTTTACTTTTCGGCGCCGAGAGAGCACTGCCTCGCTCTCTCTGGCCAACTCTTCTTGTCAGTGATACTGTGTTGTCATCGCCTATTCGCCATCTGCAATACTCACCAGTTCGGAAGAATCTTGTGTTTGTGAATGGTGAAGAGTGGAGTGCAGCGGCGGATAAGAGCACGGGGAGAGTGGCACACAGTCAGTTCGCACAGTCTTCTACTAGGGTTACCCGCGTGCTCCGCAACGCGAAGGGGGGATTTTTTTACCCGTGGGTATTGGGTTGGTCTGTGTCGATTTGGTTGGTAGATATCCATTTCGTTCGATTGCTTTTTGACGGCCAAGCATTTTGTAAGAAAACAAAAAGATACATCGCATCGAGGTGCCCGCGTCGTATTATCATGCGTTCTACTTTAGAATGATTCGAAAACTGGCGTGAAGTCTTTTGAGGGCCATCGATGAATTTCGCTAAAAATGATAATGTAATGGTTTGGAACATTTACATTTTTAAGGATACTGTTGCTAATCATGCAAAAATGAAGAGTGAATATTGGACAGAATTGAATGCTCTATCCAATGGTACCATATTCAATTGCCAAAGGTATCAGGTTATGCAGGAAACCCCGTGTGATTAATAAAGTGGCACAAAATTGACAAACACCATTTTCTCCTGTGATTTGCACCACCTTGATTTGGATCAATCAGCTTTTCACAATTTTTATATGAGAGGCGGTACCTTTCTCTTGCAAATAGGAGTTGATTCAACTCGCTCCATTTAACGGTCACCTAAAAATAAAATTAATTCCAAAATCCCTCAAAAACCGCAATTTTTCAAATAAAAGTGCCCTCTCCGGTGCACGTGGCGCGTGCTATCCTCTGCATTGCACACCATTCAATAGCCCGTTCAATTCTGTACACGATGCTGTTTTCCCCGTGCCGGTCGGACCCCTGGTCACCAAGATATTGCACGGGAACTGGACCCGTGTCGGCCAAAATTAGCCGTTTTCGCCCGATTTCGCACGCCGATTTATACATGTAAAGTCTATGACGCGAATTTGCACTTTTTGAGCACGCGCCACGCGCTCCCTATCAATCCGATCGAGCTGAGACCCCTCAAAGGCACGTCGCGCATCCTTGATCTATAAGTTGTGCAAATTTCACCGGGCTAGGTGCAACGGTCTGGCCTGTAGTCCACGCAAAGCACGACCAAGTCGGGACCTCGGTAACGGACAGACGCACCCTCCTCAAATAGTAATATAGATTTCACGGTGACCGGGTCTACTTATCATTCCTATCTGATTCCTTATTTTCCTAATACCTCTTGCTCTCTGAAAAGAGGGTTCCTTTGTCTCTCTGTAAAGAGGGCTCTATATTTAGGTCTTAACATGCTCTCTGTAAAGAGGGTTCCTTTGTCTCTCTGAAAAGAGAGCTCTGCATACCCTTTTAGGTCTTAACATGCTCTCTGTAAAGAGGGTTCCTTTGTCTCTCTGAAAAGAGGGCTCTGCATACCCTTTTAGGTCTTAACATGCTCTCTGTAAAGAGGGTTCCTTTGTCGCTCTGAAAAGAGTGCTCTTAAACCTTGATCCAAAATTATATCCATTCATATAGCATCCACTTCTTATATTATAAATTCCCAATTTCACCTCATTACCATATCAACCTATATCCTGTCAGGCCCCGGTCGCCACACCAAATGATGCGAGACGTCAACACACACACAGTTATACAGTCCACTGAGTCAAGTTGAAGAACGTCTGCAACATTTTCTGGTCCTCCGGGCCGGATGATCCCGGCCAGAGGTGAGAAGTCAGAGGAAGAGGTCCAGAGGCACAGCCCGCAGTAGCAACCCTCGCCAGTGTTCGTCAAGTGGTATCAACTCGCCCCCTGCAGGATCTAACTGAAGGCTAATGGAAGATTCAAAGGAGGGAGACGACAGAGAGATGATGCTACGGAGCGGCGATGGCGCTGGAGCAGAGAATGGACGTGCTGCTGGAGAATTGGGAGCCCTGACCCCTCAAGACTCAACAGAGGAAAGCAACGGGAAGGCGATGCCGCAGAACAGGGTCGATGGCGGAGCGAAGGAAGGAACAGCCACCGGTGAGCTGAAGACCCTGAAGCTGCAGCGTGGCCGCAAGGCCGCCCTACTCACCCGTGCCTGTAACACGGCTGAGGTACAAATCGATCGCTGTGCAAGTGAAGAAGAACTTAGGAAGCGGCTTGAGTCCCTGAACACGGCCCTGGAAGGCTTCCTGGAGATAAATGGTGATTATGTTGAAAAGGTACAGGAAGTGGGTGAGCTAGAAGAGGCGGAAGAGTATGCCGCCCGGTTGACGGCACGGCACGCCTCAGCAATCAAGGCGATTAAAGAGGCCATCAAGTTGAAGTCCTCAGGCTGCTCAGCGTCCGAGACAGAGGGGAAGCCGATGTCGCTCGCTCCACGGCGAGACGGAAGTAAGGTCAGTGGGTCCCGGGCTTCAAAATGCTCAAAGGCCTCAACAGTGGCAAGGGAGGCTGAAATAACTGCAGAGATGAAGGCCCTCGAGCTGAAGCATCTCAGGGCACGAAAGGAACGAGAAAGGCAGAAGGAAGAGCAAGAGGACATGCTGAAGGAGCAAGAAGACACGCTGAGAAAGGCACGAGAAAGGCAGAGTAGGAAGCAAGAGGACATGCTGGAGGAGAAGGCTATGCAGGAAGAGGTTGAACGAGCGCTTGTGAAGGCACGTCTATGCAAGGCGGCTGAGAGCGATCTCGAATGGGAGAGACGGCACGACTTCGATGGCGAGAACGTCGCTCTGGTTCCCAGGGAGTGCATTGTGGCGGATGGTCCAGTAACGGTCGACCTGCCTCAGCGTAGACCACCGCCACAAGAAGAGCGCCGAACACTGCAACCTGAGCAGCAGACAGCCGCAAACAACGCCGAGCTGCCGAGCAGCAAGAACGAACAGCATCCCGCTAACTGGGTGACAGATGTTCGCTCTGAGCAACAGCCTTTGTTTCATCAACAATCGGCGTTTGTGAAGAGCATCCCACGTCTTACCCTGCCGACGTTCCGAGGAAGCGCTCAAGAGTGGCCACGCTGGATTGGGCTGTTTAAAGCTTTGGTGCATAATCAGCCGTCGTTGTCAGACTCCGAGCGCATGGCACACCTTCAAAACGCGGTGGAGGGACCAGCTGCCCAAGCCATCAACGGCATGCTCTTCAACGGGGAACTCTACCAGGAGGCTCTCAAGACCTTGCAGGAACGCTTCGGCAGAGAGGAAGACATCATACAGGCCCATCTGCGAAAGATCTTCACCTCCACCCCGCCATCTCTCATGGACCTCCCAGCCATGGAGCAATTCTACTCAGTCGTCCACAACACGGTGACAGTTCTTCGCAATCTGGGCTACTCAAGCGACCTAGCGAGCAGCGAAAACCTGAGAAGAGTGGTGGAGAAGCTACCAGTCGAGCTTGGTCGAGAATGGGGCCGAGAAGTGCACAGGCTCCGACCAGTGCGACCCACCCTGGAGGCGTTCAGCTCATGGTTGAAGATAGAAGTCGATGTCCTTAGCCACTCTGGCAGCCAGTTTGTGACAAACGATAGGACAGAAGCAGCCAAGTCCAGGGACGGTGGGACCGCAAGAAAGTCTGCATTCGCGACAGGCATCACTTCTTCGGCAGATCCAGAAACCCGACGGGCATGTGTGGTGTGTGAGGACACGCACAAGCTCCCAGACTGCCCGACGTTCAAGGCCAAAACTACTAAAGCCAAACTGGATATCGTGAGCGCCGAAGGGCTGTGCTTTTCGTGTCTTGGCAAAGGACACTGGAGCCGGAAGTGCAGGATGGCCAGGAGGTGCGGTATCGAGGGCTGCAAGTTCAAGCATCATCCGCTGCTTCATGACAACAAAGGACAAGCGGTAGCCAACAAGCCTCACAAGGAAGAAGGCAGTAGCAACGCACCGTTCGTAGCGGCGTCACTGAACGAAGAGACGGACACCTTGCTTCAGGTAGTTCGGGTCCAAGTCCATGGCATCAGAGGCTCGAAAGAGGTTCTTGCGCTGCTCGATACCGGGGCGCAAACATCCCTCTGCAGTGAAGACGTCCTACGCGACCTGGGGATCGCTGGGCAAAGTCGCCAACTCCGAATTCAGAATGTGGAAGGAAGTGGCGTCCAGAAGCCCTCGCAGTGCGTCTCACTGACCATAAGCGCACTGGACTCTGATAGAAGGAAGAGCGAAATCCAAATCCCGGAAGTGTGGTCCGTTCCAGCTCTCAACGTGACTGCCCCTGTGGTAAAAGGAAGCCAGCTCAAGGGATGTGAACACCTTCACGGACTTGAGTTCCCGCAGTACGACGGTGGGCAAGTGGAACTGCTTATCGGAGCGAACGTCTTAGAAGCGGTCCTGCAAAGAGAGACGCGTGTCGGACGCCCGAATCAACCAGTAGCAGTGAAGACCGACCTCGGATGGGCACTGACAGGATCAGTCTCGGCCACCGTTCCCAGTAGCTTGCGCCAAGTCATGTCCACGAAGCTGCTGCTGACGGAACAGGAGGACGAGCGGTCTGCTGCTGTCAGTCAAGGGCAGTCTACCGAGCCTTTCGGGACTGTGCGCTGCCAGACTAAACCCAGGTCAAAGGAGGGAGTAAGAGTGATCAAACCGTTGGAAGAAAAGCACAATCAGAAGTCAAGGACGATATAAAACCGGTTTGCTGGGGGCTCGATCGTCACCAGGCATCGCCAACTATGTCCTCAAAGAAACGCCCCAAGAGCACTGGAATGAAGGATGGACAGCGCCTCCGAGAGAACCCGAGCAGATCCAGCAAAGTTTCTGCATGGATGACTTCTTGCTGTATGACGCGGATGTGGATACCGCCAAGCAGCTGAAGCAAGAAGCCATCCGAGCCCTCTCTGATGGGGGATTCAAACTGACTAAATGGAAGAGCAGCCGGCACGAAGCTCTGGAAGGCACTTCGACCAGCGATCTGGCCTCCGCCTGGGTGCGCCGACGGCTGCAGCGGAGGAAACCTCAGGAGTCGTCTGGAAAGAGAACCTTCAGCGGCACCAGACGGCATGTCCCAGAAAAGATGAACACGGCCGATGACTGCTCGAGGGGACTGGCTGCCTCCGAACTCACGTCCGAGAGCCGGTGGTTGAGCGGCCCAGCGTTCCTGAGCGACGACGAAGAAAACTGGCCGGCGCAAGCGCCACCACCACCGCTGACGGACGACATGGAGGAGGTGAAGTCAAACATCCTGGCCAGCGTAGTGAAGGGCGGCGACCAGCCGGAACGTCTTCAAGGAGTGGACTACTGCCGCTGTCGCCGTAGAGCAGTGACGGCGGTGTGATGAGATGCAGTTAGTGGATGTGCCGGAACGTTTGTCGTCTCCTGGGTATGTGTGTTTAGAATGCATATCTAAACACAGGGGGGAGTGATGTTGCCGACAAACTGCACTAGGTAGTTGGTGTTGCGGCTCATTTCGGCTCTGATCGTAGCTGCCGGGCCGGGCCGACTCGTGATCCCGGCCGGCGCCGCTCCACGCCGCCGCCGCCCCCATCCCCCTGCCACGCCGCCGGCAGATGGGCCGTCCTCGAGAGAGTTTATGGCAGTGATCGGGTGACGGGACGCTCCTCTCTCCCTGCGACCGTGTTCTACAGCTGCAGTTGTATGAAAGGATGCGCTGTTACCGGAGGGACTGACCCGGGGGATGGGGTGAGCTGGCGTGGCGTCGCACGTGGAACTGTGTCCCCGGCGGGTCGGAGCCGTTAGGCCGACATGTGCCGACCGCGTGGTAGGGTTACCAGGACGCTGTGTAGTCTGTAGCTTCTTTGTTATTTTATCACTTCCGTCGCCATCTGTGTCCTCCCGACCCAGTACATAAACGGGGCGGGAGCAACCCTCGCTCTCACTTCTTTACTTTTCGGCGCCGAGAGAGCACTGCCTCGCTCTCTCTGGCCAACTCTTCTTGTCAGTGATACTGTGTTGTCATCGCCTATTCGCCATCTGCAATACTCACCAGTTCGGAAGAATCTTGTGTTTGTGAATGGTGAAGAGTGGAGTGCAGCGGCGGATAAGAGCACGGGGAGAGTGGCACACAGTCAGTTCGCACAGTCTTCTATTTCACGGTGACCGGGTCTACTTATCATTCCTATCTGATTCCTTATTTTCCTAATACCTCTTGCTCTCTGAAAAGAGGGTTCCTTTGTCTCTCTGTAAAGAGGGCTCTATATTTAGGTCTTAACATGCTCTCTGTAAAGAGGGTTCCTTTGTCTCTCTGAAAAGAGAGCTCTGCATACCCTTTTAGGTCTTAACATGCTCTCTGTAAAGAGGGTTCCTTTGTCTCTCTGAAAAGAGGGCTCTGCATACCCTTTTAGGTCTTAACATGCTCTCTGTAAAGAGGGTTCCTTTGTCGCTCTGAAAAGAGTGCTCTTAAACCTTGATCCAAAATTATATCCATTCATATAGCATCCACTTCTTATATTATAAATTCCCAATTTCACCTCATTACCATATCAACCTATATCCTGTCAGGCCCCGGTCGCCACACCAAATGATGCGAGACGTCAACACACACACAGTTATACAGTCCACTGAGTCAAGTTGAAGAACGTCTGCAACAGGAATATTATATTCTGGCAATGTGAGTAATGGCTCTGACAATATCTTGGCACAGGGCAGCTTACCTTTCCCTGAGCTGCCTCTCCCTGGATTTGAAGGCGGGTCTTGGTGAGATCCAGGGGATACGTAACTGTTGAAAACAAAGCAAAGGAACTAAGAAAACACTCAATAAATACTGACAAGCTAGACAATCATGGATTATGTTTAATGCAACCAATGCAATAACCATAAAACTTAAAGTCATGCACTGACAACAAAATGAGCAAAATATACACAAAATATTCAAATAATTACAACAGGAACCAACCAACCAGAGAAAACTGAGTGATAAATGCATGCTCAAAGCCAGGGCTGCGGAGTCGATGGATTTTCGGCGACTCCGACTCCGACTCCGACTCCGGCTTTCAAAAACCAGCTCCGACTCCGACTCCGACTCCGGGCAGAATTGTCGACTCCGACCGACTCCAACTCCCGACTCCGACTCCGCAGGCCTAGCAGGGCTGGGGAGTCGACAGATTTTCGGTGACTCCGACTCCGACTCCGGCTCGGGTTTCTAAAATCGACTCCGACTCCGATTCCGGTCACAACTGTCGACTCCGACCGACTCCGACTCCGACTCCGCAGCCCTGCTCAAAGCATACACATCTAATACTTTATAAAACAAATCTCTGATTGTAATTTCAGAACTCGACAGGAGCTGGAGCCTCACCCAGTTCAGCACATGTTGCCGAGCAGCAGGAAAGGATGTATTTGAACCATACTTTCTGAGCTATGTCAGATGTCAAGTTATGTGTCTTGTCCTTCATATTTGTTTGGTTATATCTGGAACAAGTGCTTAAAAAAGCACAGGTTTAACCCTGAAATCAGAAAGGCAAATTATTGTCATGGCATGAGAAAATACATCTGCATGCATTGTGACAAATTACAGTTTACACCATCAAGCCATTAAAGTCTGAGTAAAAATAACCGCTGGTTCAGAACACATAAGCATGCAGATGCATTTTTCAGCACGTTCGATAGTACCTACTGCATTTGTTTGTAAAAGGAAAATATTTGGGCTCAAAACTATTTAGGGCATTTTACCAACACCAACCTTCTCGTGTGAGTCACATGAAGACTAAGAAAACGCAATCGTCTAGGTTCGATGCATGCAGTATAACTTATTTCAATAACTAGTGCATATTTATCACAAAATTCATTAAAGGGACTATCCCACCTTCTAAAATGTTGTTAAAACCAGTTAAATTGTGTCCGACTTAATAAATTGGATGACCAGGAACACGGTTCTGGCATTTATTTTTCATTAAACATCTTAGGCTTCCCATATTCCAAACACAAACTTTCAAATATGTGACATCACAGCCCAAAATTACCTCCTTCCCCAGGCCACATTACTGTCATAAAGCTGATTCTTTTTACTCTGTAGGCAGCACAACAAAGTTCAGACCAAGTTTTAAGCGATTGTTCAACGAACAAACCCATTTAAATCAGAATGACTAAACGAGGTGACGTCACACTAACGGTCGCTCCATGTTGAAGATAGGGCCTTGTACAAGGCCCATTTTCAAATGAAGGGAACGAATTTCTTCAACACCAAGAGGCCGCGGGGGTTGCAACCTAGATAGATAGTGGTTTCTGAACCTCGCCGCAAACTTGGCTATCTCAACTCAAACCCCATGTTAAAGGTGGGATAGTCCCTTTAATATATAAAACAAAATCGGCTATATATACACTTACTGCAATGCACATAATAATTCAAATTGGAAACCATTGAACTCTATGGAAACCGACCAGGCGCCGGCCGCACCGCAAATGTTTCAAACGCGGCATTTCTGTATGGCTATGCTGCTACCAAATGGGTACCAAATAGAGGGAAGTAGAAAATAATCTAATCGGAAAGGTATCCCTTGACGTGTTATCCCGAGCAGTAAAGGTTAGGAATCTTGGCTATCCCTTAGAGAAATGGGGATGCTCTCTTCTACGGGCTGAAAAATATCCAATCTAGCAAAAGCTGAATCATTGATCAAGCTATTCCTCAGCCACTATGCCCTTACATTGCGCTCAAATCTCGTCCTTTCCAAGAATCATGTTATGAGGTACAGAGCCATGTCATAAGCCATGCATCAGTAACAGCGGGACACCTTCAGGAGAGGGGGGGGGGGAGGGAGGCACTGCCCACTTTTGGTCCCCTTCTTTCCATGCAACGCCCAAAGGGATAATGTTAAAATGCCAAAATCAACGGGGGGCACGGTGCCCCGGTGCCCCCCCCCCCCCCCCACCGTTCCACCGCCTATGCAGCATGCATGCTATGAAATTAATGTTCGCAATTACGTAGAACCTACAGCATCGGTGTTCATGTGTGTTTTGATATGTAGACACAGAAGTAAAGCGCCAGGTCAGGTCAGCCAACAGACCTGTCTTTCGGTTTCCCGCTTACCGGCCAGCTATGCAACTTCTTCGGCGGGGTGTAAGTACACACCTACCCTACGGCTAATGCTGGAAACATTTGTCATTAGATTTGCTCGATGCATGTCCTAAACTGGCCCGAAATGGCCTAAAACTACTACTTGTAAACATCAGTTTCCTTCCCATTCCTGCAACGTAGAAGCAGTAGCACTTCATGCATTCGGGTAACCCTGATCTCTAGGCCCACTTATATTAACCCGCGCCCCAGTGGCGGTCTCAGCCAACTTCGCCCTAGTGGGGGGGGGGCATATGTTACCACCCACCTCTAACTCAAAAACTAAGAGGGATAGAAAGACGCGGTAAAAAGCAGTCGATAGCCCTCAATGCGTACGTTTGAAAGTATTTCGGTCATTTTTCACCTTTGAGCAATATTGGGGTCACCAGAGGTCATCAAAGGTCAAAATTTGCCAATTGTCATTATATTTTTCAGAAAACATGCCGCTATCTCAAAAACTATGGTAGCTAGAAAAACGCATGAAACAGCAAACGATAGCTTTTGAGCTCTTCTTTTGAAAAGGTCATTATCAATATTGACCTCAGGTCAACGGTTTAGCCTCCAGAGGGCAAAAACTCCAAAAATAGCTGTTTTTACGAAAAGTGTTTTTCGACAATAACTTTTGACTACAAAAAGCCACGGCATTTCTATTGCCAGAATCGTGTTCCCCTTGCCGAGACGCGTCGAATGAACTATAATTTGACCTTGAAAGGTCAACTTGAAAATTTGACCTCAGGTCAAGGTCATGACCTGACCGAAAAAGGTCATGTTGCATATCAGTCGATGCGTCTCAACAAGACAAACACAATGAGACCATCCCCAGCGTTCTATCTCTTTCCAATCGCGAGTTATTGGCAAAAAACTGTTTGTAGCCTCAAGTGACCTCAGATGACCTGTCTAGAGGCTATCAGCAAAAATGACACCTTGGTCATCACGAGTGGACTAAATCATTGTGATTCTGAAATATTTGGACTGTTCCCATGCGTACACACGGATCTAGAGGCATTTTCATTTTTCTCCATTGCCTTATAATGGTAAGGTCACGCCACTGACCTGACCTTAGGTCACGGATATGAAAAATCTGAGATATACAAATTGTAGGCGCCCATAACATCATGCAATCCACCAAGTTTGATACCTTTCTGACAACCACTGCAGGCTGGACATGATTGCAAACTTTTTTTTAGGCTTGGTCAATTAACTTGACCTGGTGACCTGACCTGACATGACCTGGGGTAAAAAATTTCACACATTGTCCAAAATTGATGTACAAAAAGCTACCCCAAGCGGCGCGGCGCTACGCGCCGCGCTTTTTTATTTACACGCGAAAAACGCGACAGGGTGGTAACATATGCCCCCCCCCACTGGGGCGAAGGTTAAGTGTTCATTATCGAATTAGGTTCTGTCTTCCATAACGAGCTTCTCCGTAGTTTTCACTGTATCACTCAAAAGGCGGCTGATACGGCGTATTTGTTTGTATTACAAAGACTTCATTGGCCATCTCATTTGGGGCCAACTCAGCGCAAAACATCCGAACAACGTCCACGTCCAGCTTTGTCGATGGAAAGAAATACGTCTCGACTTGGCAGCTGGCACTCCCATACGTGGCATGAGGAATCACTCAGACCTAGGCTAGTCAGAAGCTGGGATAGATCTGAAGTAAGGCATTTACAACATAAATAACACAGTCAAACGGCCCCTGGGGTGCACCGCTCTGGCAAGCAGGTCAGGAGGCCCGCCTAGCGGGAATGCGCCCAATAACTCGGAATGCTCATTCGGTCATCACGGATGGGATGCAGCTCTTGGAATATATCGCGCTCACAATAAAAATAAGAACCATCCACATGCAAGTAATCTCAGACACACCAGACACAAACTTAGAAGCATTTGCGGTGGACAATGGAGGGGCCAGACTCGTCGTACTCCTGCTTGGAGATCCACATCTGCTGGAAGGTGGACAGCGAGGCCAGGATCGAGCCGCCGATCCAGACAGAGTACTTCCTCTCCGGCGGGGCGATGATCTTGATCTTCATGGTGCTGGGCGCCAGGGCGGTGATCTCCTTCTGCATGCGGTCGGCGATGCCCGGGTACATGGTGCTGCCGCCCGACAGCACCGTGTTGGCGTACAGGTCCTTACGGATGTCCACGTCGCACTTCATGATGCTGTTGTAGGTGGTCTCGTGGATGCCGCACGACTCCATGCCCAGGAAGGACGGCTGGAACAGCGCCTCGGGGCAGCGGAAGCGCTCGTTGCCGATGGTGATGACCTGGCCGTCGGGCAGCTCGTAGCTCTTCTCCAGGCTGCTCGAGCTGGCCGCGGTGGCCATCTCCTGCTCGAAGTCGAGCGCCACGTAGCAGAGCTTCTCCTTGATGTCGCGCACGATTTCGCGCTCGGCGGTGGTGGTGAAGCTGTAACCGCGCTCGGTGAGGATCTTCATCAGGTAGTCGGTCAGGTCCCGGCCGGCCAGGTCCAGACGCAGGATGGCGTGAGGCAAAGCGTAACCTGAGAACGAACGAGAAAATCGTAAGCATCGCATTTGGGTGAGCAGTTCGGACATGGCACAGCAAGGCATTGATATAAAGGACTACGGAGTGAATTGACGCTTCAGGACCTTGCGGCTTATTAGATAAGTTCATGATCGTTGTTCAAAAGCTGGGCGAAGTCTAAATGAACTCGTGTCGTGCTACTCACCCTCGTAGATGGGGACGGTGTGCGAGACGCCGTCGCCGGAGTCGAGCACGATGCCGGTGGTGCGGCCGGAGGCGTACAGCGACAGCACCGCCTGGATGGCCACGTACATGGCGGGCGTGTTGAACGTCTCGAACATGATCTGGGTCATCTTCTCGCGGTTGGCCTTGGGGTTGAGCGGCGCCTCGGTCAGCAGCACCGGGTGCTCCTCGGGCGCGACACGCAGCTCGTTGTAGAAGGTGTGATGCCAGATCTTCTCCATGTCGTCCCAGTTGGTGACGATGCCGTGCTCGATCGGGTACTTGAGGGTGAGGATACCACGCTTGGACTGGGCCTCGTCGCCGACGTACGAGTCCTTCTGTCCCATGCCGACCATAACGCCCTGGTGGCGGGGCCGGCCGACGATCGACGGGAAGACGGCACGCGGAGCGTCGTCTCCGGCGAAACCGGCCTTGCACATGCCGGAGCCATTGTCCACGACCAGAGCGGCAACCTCGTCGTCACACATGTTGGCTGAGATAAGTTACTGAAAAGGACAGACAGGAAACCGTTAGTCTCGGGCACTTGATGTCACGCATCACGTCAAGTCCACCAGTCTGAGCCACATATCCACGTATCTCTACATTCTACCCGATAATCACCGGTAGCACCACGGGGCCCCATGGCTCACCGCCCTTCCCATGAACCCCACCCGCGGCGCCGGTTCAAATTCCCGGCACAGCCGCCCCCGCAGCCGCCGGCTGGCCGGCACATTCCGGGCTCTGTTCAAGGTCGGTGGCCCCTCGCCGTCCTGAATCACCGAGTGGCCGCCGCCGCTGCCGCCGCCGAGCCGCGCCTTATATGGGCATGAAAGCGGCGCTCGCCGGCCGGCCGGCCGGCAGAAGGAAATCGATGGGGTCGACGCCCACCGACCGGCGAGACGCGCGGCGGACCCACAGTGCCATGATGCCGTGTCTTAGGGAGAGATAAGTGCGAGTACAGCAACATAAGGGTATAGCTAAGACAATTACCGAGCTGTTAAAATGCGGGCGGTAAGATTTGAAGACAC